TCCACGTACATACTAGGCAGTATTATGACATTATATTGATATGTCTGTTGTGAATGAGACGTGAATGCAAATGAAATGGTTCAACAGATGATGCTCGTAAAGAACAATCTGAATAGTTGTGAAAGCTGGATATAGGCAATACTCAAATACAAACTAATCAGATGCCCGAGGCTTGTTGATCCACATGGCACAAGTGTGCAACGATAATCAAATTGCCACGATCTTCTATATTTTCACGAAATAAGCATTTAGTGTTTTGGCCCAGTCCAACCGCGGCGCAGCTTCCGTCGTTTGCGCTTAAAGACATCTCCCAGTGTTGTTTTGCAATGTATCTGCGCTTTAGAGTGCAGTGTTGGACGACAGCTGCCGAATCTGCCTCAAAGTGCAGGGCGGCATTGCCCTCATCCCCCACCACTTCAGCCAATGACTCGAAAAAATTACTGAGGACAGTAGCGTAATTTCTATAAAAAACTTGGAGGAGGCTCAGTGATGAAAAATGACGAAACCCATCCTGAACTAATATTTGGCCCATTTTCCTCTCAACGTCTGTTTTGTAGGGTTGGAGCCCAAACTCAGCTCGGGGTTTGGAGCCCCGCCCTCAACTTGATAGGAAGCTTCACCCCTGGTTGAGAGAAGTGGGTGTTGTGCGTTAAAAAAGATATGTCGTGCTGGCATAAATATGTTAATCTCATTTTCATACGGGTGGTGGTGGTGATTATTGGGTTGGGGGGGGGGGGGGAGGGGGATTCAGCCTCTCTATGGTGGCTTCTTCAGCCTCATCGACTTACTGTTTCAGCTAGATAAATGAAGTTGTGTTACTCTTCCCATCAATGTTGCACATTTCTGTTAAAATATTGAGTGCCGTGAGGACCCCAGGGCGATCGGGGTCAGTTACTAACGCCATGTCACTTCGGGTTTTTTCAGACGCATTTGTTTTGAGATTGATTCCTTCCAAAAACTTTTAAACAAAACTGATACTAAAATTTGACTGGGATAGCAGCTCATGTTGATGCCCACATGACAAATGACCCTAGACCTCACCGTTGAGTATTATCAAATTGCGAGGGGCGGAAGTCACATATATGCAGGGAGGTAAGGCGCCGCAACGCAAAGACGGCGTTGACTTTCAGACACGATCATTTCGTGGTTTACAGAATGTTATCGTCACAACGGAATCCAAGTCTGCTCTTAGAATTCTCGAAGCCGTTTTGTCTCTCCTCTGATCGCAGAACACTGGCAAGCGTGGTGTCGCCAAACATTATCTCTTCCAGGCACGCAAGCTTTGCCACAGTAAACGAAAAGGTTATCGAGTCACACTGGCAGCCCGTCGGATTACAGCACGCCCAGCTGCTAAACCCGCCAAGAGACGTCAGTGCCTGTTCGGCGGCAAGTTCAACGTCAGCCAAGAAAAGGAGGCAGGTGGACTGCATCAGCGGAAGGTTGCACAAACAGCCTCCGTACGCAAGCCGCGTGCCGCAGCAGCAAGGGTTGTAAAATACCGCGGAAGCGTTCAAGGGCCACAGAACGCGGCTCAGGAACAACCCGAGAAAGTACACGCGGCGAAGGTGCTTAAGAGGGAAGCTGCGAATCACGATCCTGCCAGGACGGCGCCTGCTGGAGGTGGATGGTATGAGGACGGCGCCTGCTGAAGGTGGATGGTATGAGGACGGCGCCTGCTGAAGGTGGATGGTATGAGGACGGCGCCTGCTGAAGGTGGATGGTATGAGGACGGCGCCTGCTGAAGGTGGATGGTATGAGGACGGCGCCTGCTGAAGGTGGATGGCGTGAGGACGGTGCCTGCTGAAGGGGGATGGCGTGAGGACGGCGCCTGCTGAAGGTGGATGACGTGAGGACGGCGCCTGATACAGGTGGGTGACATGAGACTGCAGGCAACGTGCGTACTTCTGTATTAAGTCAGAGGAACATAGTAAGTGCTAACACTGCGACAAAATATATTTATGTTCCCATCTGTCTTCAGGCGACTGTTATACAACAAAAGGACATGGCAAGACAGATTGTCACAGGGGTCCTCAGGCTGAGAGGATTTGACTCGTCGGCCCGAACCGAGTCCAGCCCGTGGGTTCCGATGTCATTCACACAGGCCGAATGTACCGGGGTAATTAGCTCAGGGAGATGTAATCAATTGCCTGCCGGAGCCAAACGGAAGCGCTAAAATGCGGGAAGGGGGGAAGTGTGGAGGGTAATACCCAGCACATCCAGTGCGTTAACAAGGAGAGAGCGAGGGTTGAAAATTGACCCAACATGCGTAACATAATTTGTGGACGTTTGCTTACTGATATGATACACACTTGCGATTTCAGTGGGATGAGCCGAAATCAGATAGCATTTACAACTACGTCTCGTGTTGGTGTGATACAGCTGCTGAAGAAGATTGGAAGATGGTAGGCGGCCACCTGACGCGTCCACTTGTCCTTGTCACCACGCCGCCATGCAGTGTTGCCATCACCATGGTCTGACATCGGCCTCGGCGGGGAATCGTGGCATGTCTTTTTCCATCCGACCTGCGCCCACCCATGACAGACTACGAGTATACTAGTGGGGCTTACAAGCGGTTTAAATGATGAGTTACATGAAGTCTGGATATCTACAAAATCAAGCGAGTGTAGCATTACCTCGTTTATGCTGAACAACGTGCAGCGAAAATAGAAACCACTGAACCCGTCGGCCTTTTGGTGTATTGCCCCACCTTGTTTTGTTTCGATAACCATTAGAACAATGAGCAGTACTACAAGTTATGTTTTCTGCTCGGCCAATAATGCTTGAGAACCACGAACGGAAATGAGCCTCGTTGAGCACGGGTGAAAATATGAGCAAAGTTTTAATGCAGCGTAAATCAGCTGACTAGCTAGAGTTCATTGAACAGTTCGCGCCCGTAATGGCACAGCCCAGACCCTCCGCTCCTTTGCCCACACCCTTTATGAAGGACAACATACAGAAAGGTAAATGGTGACATAACCGAAGAGTAGGTGCGACTCTTGAACACGAGATCTTGTTCTCATATTTTTCGGCTCGGCTGCACTATGCTTTCAAAACACCAGAGCCAGTTCCAGCTGTGAAGGCGTCGAGGACATACAACCATGGTGGCCTTTCACCTGACCCGTCAGTAAAAAATAAGATTAAACGATAAAAATGCGGCTCTGATAAATCGGCGATGGCTGGGAGCAACGAAGCCTTAAATATGTTTCAAAACAGGTAAGTACGTGCATGAGCCGAACACACTGCAAAACGATGCGGAATGCGTTCTTGAATCATCCGGCAGCTGTTACCGTCCACATGCACATCAGTATTTACACGGCAAGTTCGTGTTTGAAATGCTTTGCATTTATTGCATTTTGGCTCCAAAATTCACATCAGAGATCTTTTGCTTGCAGCATTTTCGCACAACAGTATGGTAACATGAAGCAAAGTCTAAGCTTCACAAATAGCAACAGTATTGTTTGGCTAAAATCCGATAGTACTTAACATGGTGCGGTTATATATCTCGGGGAGAAGGGGGGGGGGGGGGGAGGCGGGCTGAGACTAGAGATGCGTTACAATATGTTCCTGTGAATTGTAAGCTTGCTATTGGCGACTTAAAGCATTCTGATTTGTGAATTATTGAAACATTAGTTGTGGACCATGGGCAGCACATAGACATCCCCTTTTTCATTTCTGCCAGATAATCAGAAGGACAAAACGTGAAAAAAAAAAATGTTCTAGTTGAAGGCAAAGAAACCAAGTCTATGTGCTCTGATTATCACTTGCTGGGAGGAAGGGGGATCAGTTTGATGTCTGATACCTTTTCATAACAACTTCCGAACGGTGCGACGCAAACGCACTAAGCTATGTGTAGTTGTAGGCAGTTGAATATCCGAGTTTTTTGTGTGAGCATTAGATTTACCTCATGAGGTCGCTAAGCTGCAGCAGGTCAAAGCCAGGCCATAGATTTCAGCGAAGGTCATTCCGGTTGAATCTTTCAGGCTGATCCGGCAGCGGAGAACTTGACGAAGCCATACAAAGCTGAAATGGTTTCGCCAGCAATACGATGATTGAAATAATAATAACGACTAATTGTATTAACCTTAAGTCAAGTTTACACATTAGATCAAGGAAGAAAACCAAACCGCATCTTACTGGAAAGCTTGCTTCATGAGGAAATTTGGACGCTCAACTCAAACGTTTTCATCACAAGGACATCAACAGATCACTGTTGAATTAATACATTACTATTTTATCAACAGATTACCGTATTTGACCTCAATAGGACCTGAGGAGGTCAGACTCCTAACATGACCGCAGTCAGCCTTTTACTTTGAGGAATATGTCGCAAGGAGTGTTTCTGACACTAAATGTAAGTTTGAATATCGAAAGGTTTCAATAAATCTTGTGTATTTTTGACCTTTAGTTAAAAATTTAGTGTACTGAATGTCATTGACCTGATATAAATGCGAGTGACCTTTTGTTAGAAAAAAGTGTTCAAAGCTGTTAGTTACGCCGATAACAGCCTGAGGACGGCAGGCGCGTCGATTGCAAGTTTGATCTATTTGACCTTAAGGTCACGACCTGGGTACGTACAAATTTGGCTCGAAGGAATTTACATATAACCCTAGCTACCTGGTGAGTTTGATGTCAATAGCTCTTTGTTTTTGAGACATCAGGGGGAGAATTCCCCTTCCCCCCCACCCGAGCGCTTTGCAATCGGCCGGCCTTATAGTCACGTGTTGGTTAAAAACCGAACACAGGAAAACACTGTATTCCTCAGCATGCAACACACAACACTCATGACGTTTCTTTCAACACATGGACATGCCACGGCGTGAGCGACAACTCAAACGTCGCAATGAACATTCTCACAAAAACAAAACAAATAAAGCGAGCATTGTCACGTAGAGAGAGACACGAAAATCTTGCGTACTATTTCACTGCATGAAGGCAGCAATTCTACACGGCCAGCACAGTCCAGAGTTTGAAACACTTACCACTGCTACTGTCCAATCTGACTAGATAAACAGGTCTCCCACTCGGGTGTCCAACAATGGCAATGTGAGTTGCTGATTTAGCTGCTGGTCATTGACCTGCTGCTGCTCGAACTGTTGTCTATTCAACGGCTGCTGGTCGAACTGCTGATCATCTAGCTGCTGAAGCTGCTGTCCATCGAACCGCTGATCGAGCTGCTGGTCATTGAACTGCTGCTGATCAAATTGTTGTGCGGTTACCAGTTGCAGCTGGGGCTGCTGTTGGTTGACCTGCTGCTGGTCAAATTGTTGCTGGTTAAGCTGTTGCAGGCCAAACTGCTGCTGGTTGAGCTGCTGCTGATCAAACTGCTGCTGTTCGAACTGCACCTGGTCAAACTGCTGCTGGTTGATCTGCTGCTGGTCAAACTCCTGTCGGTCGAACTGCTGCTGGTTGAGCTGCTGCTGATCAAACTGCTGCTGGCTGAACTGCTGCTGGTTGAGCTGCTGCTGATCGAACTGCCGCTGGTTGAACTGCTGCTGGTCGTTGAGGATGATGCCAGCCCCTCCGTTCTCGGCCCAGAACAGCTGCGGGTAGTCCCGCCTCAGCTGCTCGTACTCGGGGATCTGAGCTGGAGCCTGCGGCAGGTGGGCGCCCTGAGGCTGGAAGCCGTTCTCGTCGGCCACGTAGCTGACCTCGTAGGTGTTGCCGTCGTCGGCAATGAACTGATAGCTGCCCTGCTGGGAGATGCTGCCGGTCTCTGGCTGAGGTCCCGGCTGCACTCGACCCACCTCCTCCATCTGTCAAGACATAAATAAGCACGTCGAATCATGTAAAAACCGGGACACAGTAGGCGGGAAAGCTGATTCCCCAGTGTCGAGCCAATGGAACTTGGTTAGGGAAAACCAAAACCGACTGACATCCTCCCCCCCTCTTTCCTTCTTCCCTCAACATGGAGCATGCTACTTCATTAGTCGAACGGATCGGCTGGTCACGAGTTGTGAGAAACGGATGACTTCTTTTGGGCATTAGCGGTCGTGTTACCACAAAGCACGGCAAGAACAATCTTCTCCATTCTAAAATGAAACTTGTTAATTGGCAAAACGTCGCCGACATGTCAAGTGGTAAAGCTTACCCTCTGTCCGTTACTTTGGTCATAAGCGTATTCGTAGCTGCCGCTTATGTCCTGCTGGAACCTTTGACTGAGAATGCGGATTTTTGGCGGACCGCTGCTGATAAACTGTTGGCTGTTGAAGTCCTGGGCCTGGGGAGCCGCAGTGGCGGCAGCCACCAAGAAGGCCAAAAGGAGCTGAAACAGATTGAGAACAGTCATCTGTGCTCAATTCGTGCTGCACGTATTTACATTCTGAACCCCAATTAGGCGCAAATCCAGCTGCAGAACTATCGATGAAAACCAATGAAATCAAAAGAGCGCAGGTGCAACGCTTTTTGCCGTCCACAAAATTGCTGAACTATTGTGAACAATTTGATGCAAACATTTGCGTTCATGGACGTGGATAGCCCCAAAACCACTGAACGTATTTTGGAGCAAGAAATGAGCATAACATTTATAAATGCTTTGCTATGAGAGCGGACATTCCCTAGAATGATACGCGCGAATGGATGTATTGACCCACCAGCGTCATGCTTGGTTAGCTGGTGTGTAGCTCAAGCTCGGCAGTTGACTGAGGAGTGATCGATGGCGGCGCGTTATATAGCTGATCCCCTTTCGCCATTTGGCAACTCCTGTCGGCTCGACGAGATACAACGGGGTTATGCCACGTGACACGAGGAGCATACCGGTCATGCCACCTCCCCGGCCCTCGGGAGAGAACTGGTGGCGTTTTGAAACGTGCGACGTCGCTCCTCAAGTCACGAAATGGCTGTAAGCTGTCAGGTTTTTCAGTGTCCAGGTTTTTACTGCTGGCAGCGGTGTCATGTTTGAGTTACGTTCAACGTGCACGTTGGATTTGCTTTTTGCAGCATTCCTGTTTAGAGCGTCGGTAATTGGGGATGTTCAGTGCATGATCCTGTTTTGGTGTAGCTACTCGCGCCTGAGCTGGAGACCTATTGCCACCCCTGCATGAGATGACTGCATCAGCCATTAGCTCAGTTGCCGTCCAACGGGTGATTTATAATTTGTAATGGACACGCCAACTTTTTGTAAAAGTCTGTCATGGCGAAATACGTATTTTTTTTAAATACCACGATCCAGATAAACAAAAATGCATTTTTTTGTGGGTTCAAGAGATTGTATATTAACCCATTTGGTCCACCGGTATGTGCATTCTTCTAATCATGCAACTTCGTGCAGATCTTTATCAGCTCAGGCTACTCAAATCTGACATCGATCCGAAAGACCTCCTCGCGAAGAGACTAATCCATGGTGTGCGCTTCAGAACGAGCGACCTACGCCTAAGCGAATTTCACGCCAGCGCTGTTGGGCAAGAACCCAAATTGGTACCACATCTGTAATGCACCGAAAATATAATAACAAATGTCAGTACCATTCGGTTGTCATTAGGGCTACCAAAATCTCCGCTACACTTTATTCCGGTGTCAATTTTGTTCCGTCGTCATGCACTTTTTCCTCATTTGACGCTTGCATTACTTCATGATTGACTCCCATGGGACCAAACCTGGCATAACGATTTGTAACTTGAAAGGGAACCAAAAAAGACCCCGCGGAGGAATTCACTGATGATTTTGGGAGAACTGACGACAAACGACGGGTTTCGCCCCTGTCTATCCTAGTTTTCATACATCTCAGACTTGTTGCCAAAACTGACCATTCTAGGACCTAGGACCATCTCTTACAATGCCAGTGTGAGAAAGGCTGCACTTACCCACGCTTTTGCCACCAGAATTACTCGGTCTCCCTTCCGTTAAAAATGTGTTGGTACCGCTCAGCTAGGGCTACAGGGGGTCAAGATCTTTGCTGAGTAACGTACACTCCAGGACGTTTTTGAGGAGGTCAGCTGTCTACAACGTAGCACAATGATCAGGACACAATGATCAGAAATCAGAAACAGGACATTCGGGGAGTCTTCGGTCAGATTTTCCCCTTCATCGGTGTTCACTGTGCAAAGGCGGCCGTGCCAGCCCTTCGACCCTTTTGGAAAGGCGCTTAAAACCTTTGAAAGGGGGCATATAAGATCGCCTTCTCACACTTCAAAAATTATCATCAGAAAATTCTTCGAAACCGCTAATGGATCACAATGAAGTCATAGAGAACGCAGAGCTCCCAAAACGTCCAGCTACGCCCGACAGCCTTGGAAAAGGCATGCCAGAAATCCCTTAAACCTTATGAGGGCGTCACATATTTTGCTATTGACATCAATAAGAAGCCACAAAGGCGTCCTTGTACCGACCGACCTCTGCGCTGACTAAGATGAGACTGTCCACTAGGCGCGACTCGGGGACCCAACCACTACACTAGTTCACGGCCACTGTCCAACCACTACACTAGTTCACGGCCACTGTCCAAGGGCTCGGCGGCAGTAAGGACAAGGACGAACGCGAAGGTTCAAGTGGGGTACGCGATTATGCCGGCTCGGGTGAAATCAGGGTCTGCGCTGGTCCGTTTGGGACCGACCTTTGTGTCGGCCCAGTAAGGCTCTGACGGGACCTCTAGCGGCACCGACTCTGGCTCTGTAAGGACTATTAGCTGCACCTGTATTGATGTGGGTCTGCCTTTGCGCTATGACTGACGCGATTACCCGACATGTGATGGTTCTCAAGAAGCCTGATTCTTCGCTGGTGTTAGTTGGCTGGCCCGTCATTACTGTGATGGGATTGCCCGACATGTGATGGTTCTCACGAACTAGGATTCTTCGCTGGTTTTAGTTGGCTGCCCGTCATTGCCCCGGCTGAGGCGAGTCTGACCACCTCTTGTTACGTGCCAATTTTGATTTTGATCCGGCTGGCCTGATCTAGTCTGACCTTCAAGTATGGTCGTGACCTGGTGATGCCAAAAGACACATCGATGTAACTTACGTGTAGACCATACATTAAAACATGAATACCGTGGCAGCATATTGTTTAGCTTACACTACCTCGGGCTGACTTGTTTCGACAAATGACTACCTTTTCTTGCGTGCGTTTTGTGTTCTTAGCTCTTTTTGCCAAGAGATGGCGCTGTGACCAGTAGTCTCATTCACTATTTGCCTTTGGTTTTTATAGACTTTTGCTGCTCACGATCTGTTGTCGGGCTAATCACGTACAACTTTTCTTTAAGTTTTGTTATGACGGGTTCCTTCAATTTCTTTCCGATGTTTTGTATGCTTATAGATTTCGAATCCATTCTAGACCTGGAATTCATCGCGGCTGTATGTACAAGCGGTATGCACGGCCCGATATAGCTCAAGCTGTAAAAATAAAATTACTGAGTGTACCCCTCTCACGGGTATCTGTTTTGCAGCTTGCGGTGTGCAAGCCCATCCCGGTGATGAACTTGACATGCGCTAACATAAACTGAACATTCCAAATGTTTGAAAAACTAAGAGAACTAGAGGCAAAAAATTCACAGGATGGCAGATCTGTATGTGATCTCATTCGTTCCAAGCTCTGATGTCACAAGCAATAACATTCCGGTTAAATAAGGTTAAAAAATGTCAAACCCCAGACAGATATTAAAAGTGCCTCCGTTCTCCTCATGCAACCACGTTAAATCTAGATGCCTCTGTTACGCAAGAGGTCACGGGTGTTCGTTTGAGATGAGGTACCTTATTTGATATTCAGAAGGTTAATGCAATGAAAACCGACAAGATTACTTTGATCCTTTAAGTTAAATAAGCACCAAAGATTACGCTAGGTGGCGTGTTTCCAGAAACAAAATGTTGATCGAGGTAATTCGGGTCAGTAACTAACTGTTCTGAAGTCCAAATAAAAGTGTGTTGGCGTCCCGTTGATGCTTCAAAATGAGCACAAAAGTACCTCAAAAAGCAACTACCCAGTAAAATGAACCATTTAGCTTAGCTCTCGATCTGATCCTCGGACATGGCCCAAGGGAAATAAAATTGGCCATAATCTTACCTATTTTCGTCAATTTGTATAAGAAACCATATCAGAGATGTAGGGTCTTGTAAAACACTCGTTGTCGCAACGATTGAACGATGTCTCAAGAATTATCCTCGCGGACAGCCATGGCTTGATTTGATCCGCCACACATCAGCGACCTTACCAGATACATACACATTTTTGTGTGCCAGAAAATGTATATTCAATTGCCTGCGGCTCTAGAAAGTTGGACGCGGGTACGCCGCACCGATCGGAAATTATTCTGTAAGTCCCGGGGTGGGGGAGGGAGGGGGGGGGGGTCAAATTGACACTCATCACAACGAACGCGTGTTAAAGTCGTTTATCTATAGCAGGTTGAAATCATGTCATGGTCGTCAGCAAATGCAATTATCAGAGAAGATTTGAAGCTTACGCGACAACGGTGTGTTAAACGAAGTCAACAGTTTTGAGATGGTTTTAGATAGAAGGAACTAGGTTTAAAACTGATTTCTTAAATCTTCGATAATGTGTGAACATCACATCACGGACAACCCAAAGAGAAAAAACGGTTTTTATTGAAAAACGTGCTCTATAGAGCAGTTTTTTGACACTCATTTGAAATTCCTCGATCACGGCATATCAGCAGATTTCTTATTTGGACGCTCCGTAAAGTTCAGAAGATATCGTTCCCTTAGATGACCTCAATCAACCTTTTGTTTATAAGAAATCTGCTGCCTGGGAGGTATATTTACGCTACTTATATATTCGTTTATCAACATGATTTCGAATGTTTGGCCATGATGCCCTTTTAAACGTCCGATAATGGCACCGCCCTTATATGATCTCGAGCAGTATTTTGTTTAAAACACATATTTGGTTTAAAACTGGTGTATACGGAGGTCCAAGACCATTTCGAATGCTTGTTCCAACTTTAACTTTTTGACTTTATTTGAGTCAAAGGTCACTATCTAGAGCCATTTAGAGGCTTAAAAAATTGGCAGAAATGCTTTTTTATAGAGTACTCCTTACCATCTGAATTCTGCATCTCTGTCTCTCAGAGTTTTGATATCTCAGGGGCTCGAATGGACTCCCAAATGGACTCCCACACGAGCGGGTTGCATTCAACCTACCTATGCCCGGGCTCGTGTTTAACGCTTGTAAAGGGGACAGGCAAGATGTAGTGCCATTTGCAATGTTTTAATCGCCTCCAGGTCGTTGTTAGGAGGTTCAGTTTATACCTTAGTGTGAAAAGACGTCTTGATTCGGCTGAAAAGGTTTGTGACAACATTCTCTAAAAAAAAAAAACGGCGTTCAGAGGGGTGGCTTGACCAACTTGCACAGGGGTCTTGGAGCGTTCTTGTTTCTAGCTGTGACCCGGTGTCGACCGGTATTATACAGCGTTTTCGCAATTAGCGCAATTTTCACTTCCCATGTTAGTCAAGTGGGAAAGTTTTGTTTGCGCAAACTGGAACATTGCAGGCTGATCACAGCCGATCAAACAGGTTTCATGAGGACGTCGCAAAATGTACACAGCTCAACTCCCGACAAACTGCTCATGTTCTGAAATCTGCATGAAGCCCCCACCAGCGGTTGCATATATCAGCTTCTAGAAAGCGCGATGACCAGGTTGAGCCGGACCATCGCTGTTTTTAAGGGCTAGTATCTATGCGACTACTGAGCACAGCAGCAGGCAGTTGTCCATGGCCCATTTAAGGCTTTCTGAACGTGCGGCGTCGCTTGCAATTGGTTGCATGCATTGTGTGCCAGATATTGGGCAAAACGTTTGTAGGCTACTTCACCAGGTGATGCTTACCGTGCAAATGGCAGGCAAACATACATTGAATGTATTGTTATGGCGGAAAATGCTCCCAATTGACCTTCGTGGGTGGTCCATGGTTGTGCTGGAGTGTCAACTCTCGGGTAAGCGTCCGCCTTCGTCGCCTCCGCCTCGGGTAAGCGTCCGCCCGCGCCACCTCCGCCTCGGTTAGACACATGCCTGCGTCGCATTCGCCTCGGTTGAATGTCCGCCTGCGCCGCCTGCGCCGCGCTTAAGCGTCCGCACGCGTCACCTTCGCCTCGGTTAAGCGTCCGCCCGCGTCGTTTTCGTCTTAGTTAAGCGTCTGCCTGCGCTGCATTCGCTTCGGTTAAGCGTCCGCCAGCGTCGCCTTCGCCTCAGTTAAGTGTCCGCATGCGTCGCCTTCGCGTCGGTTACGCGCCCAGTCACGACTGTTGGAAATGCTTGAATGAGATGAAATGAGAATGCTTAAGTTGCAAAGATGTCTTTGGTCATTTTAATGCACTATATGTTGCCTTCGGACTGTTTCTAGGCATCATGACGCTTATCGTGGGTGCTGTTTGAATGCCCAGAACACCGCCCGGAAATCTTGTTTTTTAAATGCGAAAAACACCCATTTCATTTGCTCGCAACAGTTTTATTTTCCAAAAACTCTTGAGCTGCCTGACAGACCTCACCACGAAGCCGATGGAACAGATGTAGAACACGAAACGAAGTTGCCTGCAAGCCAAGCTTGCCTTGCCGTACACCGAGAATACACTGGCGTGCAAACAAAGCGCAACATAGATCTGACTGGACAGTGTCATCACGAAGATAAGATAAGCGGATTTGAGGTGTTTTGACGAACACATCACACACCGTTTCGACTAGACAACGCGATCCTCCAATCGGGCGTCCAGCAGTGGGTCACCGACCTGGGGCAGGTTAAACCGCAGCCGGTCGTCGAAAACGATGCCGGCCCCTCCGCTCTCGGCCCAGAACAGCTGCGGGTAGTCCCGCCTCAGCTGCTCATACTCGGGGATCTGAGCTGGAGGCTGCGGCAGGTGGGCGCCCTGAGGCTGGAAGCCGTTCTCGTCGGCCACGTAGCTGACCTCGTAGGTGTTGCCGTCGTCGCCGACAAACTGATAGCTGCCCTGCTGGGAGATGCTGCCGGTCTCTGGCTCGGGTCCCGGCTGCACTCGACCCACCTGCTCCACCTGATGGCGACGACCGCGTCAGAACTTGGCGGATCTAAGCATACGATGTTTCAGAAAAGAGGTGCTCATAGTCAGTGTTTGGATCGTTCAGTTTCATCTATCGACCACGCTAAGACAGTGATGACCAGCAAATACAGCAAGACATCCGGCAATGATGGCTAATGCATTCGTCAACTGTGTTTTTAAAAGCCGTTTCCACTTTCGAAGATTGGGTGAGGTGGTCATGCGGTGTTCACCAATACCACACTTTTCTGCGCATTGTTTTCAGCGGTCCCCTTGCTGGACGCAAGTAACTTATCAAAGAACATTTACCCGCTGTCCGTTGTCCAGTTCGTAGGCGTATTCGTAGTTGCCGCTGAGATCCTGGTCAAACTTCTGATTGAGGGTTCGTATTTTTGGCTGGCCATTAATGATGAAGCTCTGGCTGATGAAGTCCGACGATTGCGGGGCGGCAGCGGCGGAGGCCACCAGAAGCGCGACGGCAAACTGAAGCGGAATGTTGTTTTACGAAACGGATGCTATCTTCAATCCACAAACGATGGGGAGGGGGAAGGGGGATAATAACTTAAGTGCCCCTTTTAACCTTCGCTCTGGTTCAACGTTTTTCGTAACGCAAACCGGTGGAAGGGATGTGAAGTGATGCAGCTCTATGCCGGTTCAAAGCTGGAAAAAGTCAACTAGAAAGCCTTGCAATAAAATCGACAGATGATTGGTGTCAACGAGATCTCGCGATAAGTAATAAGTTTTACTCTGCTTGGTCAATAATTGACCCCACTAGGCCATGCCAAATGCAAAATCTTCCTGAAAATCAAACCTTTTTAGTTTTGCATGCACTTATGAACGAAACCATGACCCATAACGACACATGAGCACATGATGCAGCGCTCCGTCCACGTAACAGTGTCGGCTCGCCGCGCGCGGTCCGCGGAGTCGTCCAGACCCACCCGCCACGCGCCGGCCGTGGGTCGCCGTGTCGTGTTCCCAAAAAACCGTCGCTTTTCAGAAAGCAGAAATTCAAGAAGCTTGCTTCGACATCCGGGTACGCGCATGGAATTCCCAGAGACTATTTAACATTTGGGCACGATTGCTCGGTTTGCTGGGGAGGTATCTTCAGAAAACTATGGGGGGGGGGAGGGACATCGAGCCCCTCCTGGCAGAGTAGGGCTTGAACCACATGACGCCATAGCATAGGACTAATGCTTAATTTCCTCCGACAGTCGAGGGAACTAATACCAGGTTAAACAGAAGTGCAGGTGTTCCCCTTTTTTCCTTCCCCTCTATCACAAATCGTTCCCTCGGCCAGTTTTTTTTTACTAGCGGCCATTGACCAATCTAATACGCGTGGTTTCTAAAAAATCTAACCAGCGTGACCGACACACCTTAGTCAGATGTCCGACATTCTGCCAAGCAGCGCGAAAGGCTGGGAAAAACATAATTCGGTGCCACTGGTGCTCTTGGAGTAGGGAACACACGCAATAAACAAGTCTCGTTGATTCTACTGTGGTAAAGTGCTTTTTGTTTAGCAATTTCAGTTGAAAAAATGATGTTTGATAAAACGTTGTTTGCTAGCTCTGCCTTCATGCAAAAGATTGGTAAGCCTAGCATTTACAAGGTAAGGCCACATGCATGAAATAAGAAAGCATAAGATGCATGAATCGAGACCACATGCATAAGATTAATAACCATCCAGTCATCTGTCGCTTGCATATCCATCAAATCATTCTTATATGACGCAGCTACCGGGGAAATAGACAAAATATGTTTCCGTGCAACAGTTGCTGCGACATTGTTTAGAGGGACCGGTGCGGCGAAGCCTGATTAATCCCTGTCACGCGGCGCATTTTGATTATGTGTTCCGGCAAAGGTGAGCCCCCTTGTAGACCGGCTGAAACGGCACAGGATTACACTGACCAAAATCCATTCCAAGCCAAGGGTGCGTGACAGTGCGGATCAGATGAGCAGACCACCCGCGGGAAGCCAAATAACACAATCTGCTCCATGAAACACTCACCAGCCTCATCGCCGACAACATGGGAGTGATCCGCACTGGGCTGAGGACGGCCTAAGTCTGGACACGTCCTGTGTAACTGAGCTTCAGTCCTGGTTAAGTAACGCTTAAGAAGGCTCGTCGGTGCGGACACGACAAATCCGCCCGTGCACGACCAGTGTCGGTTCCCAAGGCTTGCCGACACACGTCTGCGCCAGAGAGCTTCTGAAATCCTTAGACCTGGAGGTCTGGCGTGTCCCAAACCGCAACCACCGTGCCCACAATGGCGTGCAAGATTGGCTCATCACAGCTTAAGTTGCAGTTAGCGCACGATTTTTGTGCCGTGGTAAGTATTTCCGGGAATCGCATTCTGCATAGCTGCGCGACATTGCTTTTGGCGGCAATGCTCAGAAGTGCTTCGATTTTTTCAGGAACGCTCTGCGCGCATCCAGAAACAGTTTCGGCACATGCATCGATGCGTATAATTTTGTAAAGGCCCATCGTAAGCGTAGCAACTTTTCAAAAGTGGGATGCCAGATTTAAGCAGGTCATCGGAGTTCTGCCCTTTACGTTCTCAAATTGGATGTTTTTTTCTGTCTGTGCCTCTGCAGCCGTGATCTCCAATCCAGCCATGCATGTCGCTGCATCATCGGGATTCTGAGTAGCATGCTTTGGTTATCATTTGACACATCTGACAAAGCGTGATCCGATTTTTGATTCCTTTGGGCTCATTTCCCAATGTTCGACTTAAGATAGCGATCTCTTATGATGTCATGACTAATCAGCGCTTAACAACGACAAGAGCACCAACTCGGCGCTTGCTCCCTGACGACACCGTCAGGGTGATTGGGGGGGGGATGGGGGGGTGATTGGGGGGGGATTATTATGCAGTTGGGGGGGGGGATTATTATGCACGGTGAGGGAATAAGAAGCACAGCACATTCACCATGAGATAAAATGAGATTGGGCAGTACCGTCTCATATTGAACTCCTTTATCCCGTACACAGAAAAAGTGTCCATTCGCTCACGGGCATGGGAGACTCATATCAACGACTGCCCTTCATGAAAAGGGACAAAAATGCACCCATTGCTCAACGTTCTATTAAGCACTTCTTTTATGAAATGTTGGTTGCGCTGCAATTGCGTGCATTACTACAGTGCAAGAGGGAGACGTGTTTTACTGGCCTAAACCTTTTTCAGCATTGCTGTGTAAGGAGATAGGTTGTGGCCACATTGTGGGACGACTCTGCTGTTACCCATGTTTTTGGAGGGTCAGTTTAGTTCAGTTTTTAAGTGGCTTTCCACCCTTGCTGCGCTGTCTTCTCAGCGTAAAGAATTTGAGCGCAAACTGCAGTCGTTAGCTCTCCGTATGAATCCTGCATGATGTTATGTTTCCATCAAGCGGAGTCTGCTCATTAGCTGTGAGCATTGAATCAGTTAGGTAAGTAATTCAAGCCAGTAATGTAGCCTGGAATATCTCTATTGTTGACGAAGAGCGATGTGTTGCAGTGGTGGTGATTTAAGAACCAATGCCGTCATTATCATCCTGGCGCAAACTTCGCCCTTGGCATGAGTGCGCGGTTTGCCTTAAAATGAGCTTTTTAGGCACTGAGAGTTGTCAATCAGCTGGGTTCCTGTCCCGGTATGTTGCCATAGGGTTTGTGAGGACCTGGTAAGTTTAGGTGCATTTGAATATACCATTCAGCGGGTGTAATTCTTCTTAGCTCAGTTATCTACTTCCACTCGTGGTCATTGGTATGTGGATACGAAGATTGTGAATTAAGTGGCAGGGTTCGAAAAATAAAAAAAAGCCTCGTGAAGGCTGAGCATGCTGGTCTGCCCATTCCGCTAAGAAGAAGCTCCGCTTTTGGCGTAGAAGGTTGGTCAAAATGTGACCTGTAGCTGGCTACGTACTTTGGGAGAGGCATGTGGACAAGACATACCCTTTTGAACACCTTTATGGCCTAAAGTGAACTAAGCGTGACAATTTCAGGAGTATTTGTTGTGTTCAAGCTTCTCGAAAGTTTGTGAATATGTGTCAAGTGGTCTAAATTTGGTGATTGATTGTATTTTGGAGCATGTTGGGTAAGACAGTGCGCTAAACTGAGGACAGGACCCACCCAGTTAGGTATATGATTCATGATGATATCAGGCTTAGCATCTTGCTGACATCTTTGCCATAGCTTGCAAGCTGGCGGATTGTTTGGAAGGAATTTCCACTACGTAGATTGATGCTGGTGTCCCATGAAAAGCAAGCCATATCATATGTGGTTACAGGGAGCCTTCATTCATGCAAGTAATGCATTATTTGGTATGGGTTATGTGCATGACATGGATTCCTGGATCAAATAATGTCAATACACTACTCAAGCATTGTGTACACAACGTAGTCTTTCTTGCCACTCAATTTTCAATAGCATAAATAATAGAGAATAACTGCATCCAAATGGTGGTGGGTCCTCTTTTTGGCATCATCATGGACTTTCTGGATAAAAGGAAGGAAATGCAGTTTACCCTACCCCTCTCCCCAAAAATGTTATAGTAAGTAGGTAGGAGGTGTTGAATGTCAAAATAAGCAAGCTACACATTTTACGGATCTGGCTTTCTTTTCCTGGCTGGGACATTATCATGTTAAGAAAGCTGGTCAGCCCTTTTTGTTGGAGCCAAGCGTAGCTTTGTCCAAGTATGCCCACACGCAAGTGAGTACAGTAGCATCACCAACAGGAGCTGGGGAAGGAAACAGGAAAAACGCGTACTCAGCAAAATTTTGATTTTTAACGTAAAGGCATTCGATATTGAATTGAGAGAATCTGCTCAAAATTGCTTTCACCCCCCGATTTTGAAATTGCCACAAATTACCACGAAATTGCCACCGATTGTTAATCGGTGGCGACACCTCCAAGTCAGTGTGGTCATTCATGCCTATGCATTAGTCTTCCATATCATATTAAGGGTTGTGACCTTAAAGACAGCATCCTTCCTTTGTATCTTTCACTTATTGTTACATGAGATGCGTGCAATTTGATCACTTATACAAATTTTCTCGAAATGCTTTTGAATAGCTCAGAATTTCGCTTTGAAGTAGCCGACCCAGTGAGAGAAATCTTATTTGGCCCCCTGCTCACCGCTCTGAAAGCAATGGATTTCATTTGCCTTGCGTGCGTGTGTGTGTCACTGGGGCTTTACGACGCACTCAGCTGCTGCGGCTATATGGCGTCGCCTGCCTCTCACCCTGGCAGGAAGGGCGGGCACCGCGGGGAATCGAACCCCATACCTCTGGTTTCCCAGACGCGCAGTGGTTAACGCAGACGCGTTGACCACTACACTACCGGCCCCAGTTCATTTGCCTTGCTTTCTCTTACGTGTGTGTTCTGTTATGTGCGCAACACACTTATGTCCCAGAATGTTTGTGTATGAAGTGCTACGAAAGCTCGGAACAATCTGTTTTGAAAAAAATATGCGCGAATATGACGCCATTATCCCCGAATTAAACAAAACGTTACACTAAAGCTTCAATTTCTCCACTATGGCGTTTAGTACAGTGCCTCTTTTCGAGGAGTACTTTGGCTTTGGAAGTGGTCACATGACCCATATATGCATCGCATGATCCATGTGAAGCACTGGCTCAGTCCTCAATCTGTGGCTTCTTGGTAACAGGGTCTTGCCCGCTGGGCCAATCACTAACGTACATGTCTTTGCACCAGTGGAGGTGTGCACGGTGGTCGTGATGACGGCGATGCTCGCGACAGCAGGAAAAAGCAAAGTGCTGTTACAAAACGCTGACAGGGTGAATTGGTTTGCAAAATAATTAAAGTTGTTGAAATGATTATAGTAATAGACAATGAAAGAAGACTTCAATTAAAAGCAGTTTACTATAAATTAGAATGGTTAAAATAATCAAAGGAGATGATTATATATCAATGGTGCTGCGTTGGCACTATCCACTGACATTATCAGGCGCAACTAGTCCTAAGGTTTCACTGTAGCCTGTTTTTGAAATATGACTCAAATGTTGTGCAGTACCTACTCTATTTAAACAGCTCTACGACCTTGGCCGTTAACGAAAAGTGTTTACCGAAGCTATGGCAGAAATGATACACAAAAATAAGTACATACCGCTTGCCTCAGCGCAGTAAGTCATAAAATTAAGACAAAACGGTTTACACAGTTAAGAAAACATGCCGTCCTCTTGGCAACATCACCGAGCGAGAGAAGTCCCTGCATAATTGTCCTCGGGGAGATTTCCCCCGTCATCACGTTATCATCACGTTATCACGTTATCAGAGAAGAACGCACCCGCGACAGCGTCCACATCCAGATCTTGGTGGTGCCGCGTGTAACCAGAGCCGGTTGCACGTCCTGCGTCCTCAGCATCGAGAACTGGGATTCAGACGTCGCCGTGGTCACTGGCACCGTGAGGTAAGTTCAGCTGCTTCCGTGCGACGACCTCATCAGTCGTCTGGTGGAACACGCTGTCTCTCGCCCCCTTCGCTTTTTGCAGAGCCCAGTTGGAGAGACTAAGCCCAGTGAAGAGACACTAAGCTCAATGGCACCCAATGACTGAGCACATGGTGAAAACTTGGACACGAGGAAAAAGGGGGTGAAGCGTATCATGTGTCATCCCAGAACAGGCCAAACTTCGGAAGTTTTGAACGGCATTTAGTCCCCGCAAAATCACTCGACAAAACTAGATTTTCAACGTAAACGTGGTACGCCTCGCTGCATCTGGATACATGCACGCACTGTCCAATTTTGAGCTAAACTTCACCACTTTCCGGTTTACGACAGTTAAAGAGTATACCACCAGCTGCAATCAGACACCGTTTGCTGAAGAGACGGCAACGTGCAAATACGCATTGCCAAGAACCGTTTCGTAACGACCAATCGGCATGGAACTATCGCATCTTTGTGTTTGGCAACTGGTCATGCTGCTGTCCATGACGACGTGCATTTCAAAGCTGGTCAAGGATGCAGGGCATTGTTGTCTCTGAAGACGTTCGTGCTCGTGAACGTAGCAGACGTCGCACAGCCATACTGTTTAAGGAGACATTCGGTCCGACCATCTTTTCTGCGGATTCTACGGAATAGTCTAAGCAAGTCAAGGGAATGGTTTGTCTTTTCCTAAATATTCTGTGCACACATTTTGTCAAAATTTAGACCTCGTGACTTGTGCAGTGGTGGCTCCGA